ATTATTATTACAACAACAAAACAATATAATAAAACTACCTACCTTCCAATCAGGAGAGTGTATGGTCACATCGTGGGAGCCATGGTCTCTGTGCTCTGCCACCTGTGGGAAGGGCATCCGGATGCGATCCCGTGTCTACGTCTTCCCAATCAAGGCCCAAATGTTCCACTGCCATCGCCAAATGATCGAACGACAATTCTGCAATGCAAAAATCAGCGAATGTGAAAGTTAGTTTGCTAAATTTTTTGAGAAAAATTTCGAAAATACTTTTAAAATCACCCAAAACCCAAAATCAATCTACTCAGATTCGGATGCGTTCAACTCGCGATGCGCTGTAAGCAGCTGGGCACCCTGGACTGAATGTAGTGTCACGTGTGGATTCGGTACACGCTCCAGATCGAGGACATTCAAAGAGCCCGACTCAAACAATGTCACGTGTCCTCATGTCGAAATGGTCAGGAAGGATATCTGTGTTGGTATGTCTCTATCATCATTACTACTGTTATTATTACCTCTCGAAATTCCCATATAACTCAAAAAAGTTTCAAAATTTCCCAAAAATATTTCCAAAACCTCAAAAAATACCCTCAAATTCCCAAAAAATATTCCCGAAACCTCAAAAAAGTACCTCCGAATTCAAGGCGATAATGGCGAGGACTGTTCGGTCACTCCGGATCCACTGTGTCGAGCCACCACTTGGAGTGAATGGTCTCCGTGTTCGGCGTCCTGCGACGAAGGCGTTCGTGTCAGGACCCGTCTCCTCTTCTATGCCGAACACGAGCAGCACTGCTCACATGTTGTGCTACAAGAGAACGAAAACTGTCAACTGCAAACGTGTAGACGACTGCTCAGTGCACACTCTGAAGGCTGGTTACCTTACTCTTCCCAACTCTCAAAGCTGATTGGTAAAATATTTACCAAATCGGTAAAACGTTTACTTCATCAATAGATCACAGTAAAATCGGTAAAATATTAACCTAAATGGCTCTGTCTCGGTAAAATATTTACCTGGATGGATTGCAGAGATCTG